ATGCAGCTTCATTTTGAATCAGCAAATTTAAGCTAACCGAGCTGTAAAAGCAACCAAACTAAGGACCTTTGCCACATCAAGTGAACCTTATACAAGGTCAAGATGTTTGTGCTACTGAAAGGAAAACCTGTCATTTTTGCAATACATAAATTACATGGTAGTAACTGAGGACATGGGGGCTGAAATGCACAATTGCATTCTTTCCATGGTTATTATAATATACTCTACCCTGAGGATTTTGTGCAAGTACTCTGTAGGGAATGAAAGGCTAGAGGTCGTGTGAGCGTATAATGTTCAGGGATGGTGCAAGAAATCAAATATTTCCTTAGAGAGTTCTTTTTAATTACCCAAATGAAATATGTTTGTAATATCTCCAGTGCTGAACGCTTTTGATGTTTTATTCAAAAAGCCACACAATGTCTCTAGGTTACAGTAAAGGCACAATAACTCATGCAGAGGCTTAGAAGCATGGGATGGTAGAAAACAAGTATAATAGGGTGGTTTTGTCCCTCACTGAGAACTGTGTGCACAACATAACATCCATTCATTACTTCAGCTGTGGCTGTGCAAGAATGGAGCACAATTTAAGCAGAAAAAGTTCTCTTCCTCAGAAAAGAGGAGAGATTTTGTGAGGTGACTCCCTGTGGCTGGACCAACGCTAAATACAACGAGGCACGGGCACAGCGCCTTAAGCAATGGCGTGAGATCACTTGTACTATTTAATCACTTACACAGACTCTGGCACAGGTTTGGCCACTGCCAGTGGGTATTCTCATGTGGCAGGGGCCGTTCCCCATGGGCAGTTTGGCTGCATTTTCCCTGGTTTTGGTGCAGGGACACAAGCTGTACTGCACGAGGAGACCTTGGGGCCAGAGGTGGCTCCTGGCTCGCTTGGAGTATGGGTATGGTGGTGGCTGCACGCGGCTCCAAGGTCAGGAAGGACCTTTGTCCATGTGATGTGGCACCCCTTCAGGGGAGGGAGGCTCTTGCACGACCCTATACGATTCTTGTATGCTTTTAAGTGTGCGCTCTGTAAAACTTCACGATTTACCGTTCTTCAGTGGTGAAGATTTCCCTTTGATCTGCTTGGTCCTGATAATTCCCTTTTAAACTGATAACAGGGATTGGAAATACAGCATCCTAGCACCGTCGGTAATTTGTGCAGAGTCTCCTCTTCAACAAGAGTTCTGGCAGTTGTGAGCCACATTTCACCAGATACTGGACATGCATTTTAAATCAGATTAGTAAGTCTTGGTTTGCAATTTCGCTCCCCTGCACTGCTGTTAAATGCTCTAGAGAGCGTCTGCAGCCACGTCACCAAAGCTGTCTCCAGCCATCAAAGCTCTCTCAGGTTTGGATTGCATTTGCAAATGCACATATGTAGCTGAAATAATTGCTGCCGTTGCCAGGCCCACTTTGGCGATAGCAATGAATGGTTTATAGGCAGTTTCAGAGGACTGTTGCTACCCATAAATAAAGCCATTTGTGCAACGGTTTTGGTCATACTGTTCTAAGGCTGCTATGCCAAAATCCTTTTGGGAGACACCTGTGGCCAGCTTAAGTGTTTTGTTTACTGCCAAGAAACCCTCTTTCTGTGGTTTTAGTATGCAGTGGGGGAGTGTTAGTAAGCTTTTGTTACTGGGTAGCCCAAGAGCAAGGCTACTACATATTCAATCATGTTAGCCTCCTAGCTGGCTCCATAAGCTCCTGTCTGGATTAAAAACCTCCCTTTACAGGCCAGTTTCTAATTGCTAATGTTTAGTTTTTCCAGCAGTCTCTTCCTGATCATTTTGGCCCAGATTCTAACCACGTCCTTTATCTGAACTCAGTCAGCCCTACAAAGTCACTACATTGACTATCTGCCTTAGATCGTCCTCATATGCTAACAATTTCTCTTCCTTTCTGAACCCTCTACTTACATATTTGCTTCTTTGCTTTATTTTCACACAGAGTTCAGTGCACCTGACCTTTGCAATGAGGTAGTTCCTTCTCTGTTTGCGCTAATGGAAGAACATTAACAACCCCAAATCCCATACAGTGAAGGAAAAATCAAGCAAATGTGAGTATCTTGTCTTTTGGAAGAGGAACTTCATAGTGAGAGGTTATTATTTTTTCATTAGGTTTCTGATATAAAATTTTGACACTGGACTGGGTAGCCAGTAAGGTCTACTGCAAGTGTCATTTCTTCTCCCCCCAAACATGCTATGAAGATATAAGAATCACCAGAAGGACTAGATTTTCAAGGGTATTGTTTTGTGCCCAGAATTTCATCTAGAAAGGGGTGTCTTCTAGTTTGGCTGGAATATCAGCACACCAAAATAATTAATCCTTTGGCCAGAGAATGCCTCAGGGAGGAAACTGGAAGACCTGAAAACTGAGACACATTAATAAAATGCTGCAAATACTGTATTTTCATCCAGTGAAAAATGCAAGATATTCTAAACTAAAATCATCATCCCCAGATCCTTTTCATTGAGCTGTCAAATGCAGAAAACATATCAAATTATGAAATTGGTAACACACCAAAAAAAGGAAGAAATCAAGGTTGGTAGCACCTGATTTTTCCTGCAATGGACTGAGGAAGGTAACAGGGAGCTGCCTCTCAGCAGCGAGCACACTGGACATCTCTCTGATGATACCAGTCCTAGAAGTAGCTGGACTGGGTCCCCGAGTGGAAACTTGGCATTTGCCTAAAAGCTGGACACAATGGAAGTTGTTCCTTCTGCCAGAGATGAGAAATTGGTCATATCTGTTGGCCCCAGTTCATAAGGGTGGACTAGTAGCTGGAAGCCGCTGACAAGGAAACAGGCTGTGCTTGCCCTGAGGAGCAGGAAGATCTTTAAGGGCTTACGCACAGCAATGAATCCTCTGTTGTTATTATCTTTTATCTACAGAATACCCAAGGTGCCGTTTATGCCACCTTTTCCAAGAAAGGGAGACAATAAGAGGGAACATGATTTACTCGTGCATATCATTGCTATTAAAGACAATGCATACAGGACAAAATAGAGGACACATTGAGGAAATGTTTCTGTGACAAATGGGCTGATGAAAAACTAAATGGATGCTTAAGTGAGGTGCAGGCTGCAGGGCTGGAGCAGAAGTGAGCTGCTGATACCCCGGGAGTGTGCTCAACAAATTACTGTCGTCTTAGGTCACTTCCAGGCACAGTGCGAGTTACGGGGGTTTAACCTATGAAATCACTTCTGGCGTGGTTTTGGGGAGATACTCTTGCTATATGAACGATTACCTAGGAAGCCTAAATTTAGACAGGGTATCTTCAACCACAGTCTGGTACCTAAACCATTTCTCACCTCCCATTGTGGAGCAAGTGGCCTTGCCCCAGCTCCACGTCAGCGTGAGACCCAGGCCAGCATCACACAGCCCCCGTGCCACAGCTGCCGTGGGACGTGAGCCAGGGCCTGTGGCCCAGAATGGAGCGAGGAGCGCTGAGCAACCTGGATGGCAGCCTGGTGGCTGGTACACCCCAGTAGCTCACTGTAACGCAGCCAAATTCGGGATTTGTGCATCTGAGAGGTTTCCGTGGGGGAGGGCTAGCCTGGAACGATGACCTTAGCAAACACTGTTGGTTTGTCTTGTTTGCCCTCCAGGAAATGTTTATTTACCCAGGCTTTTCCTGAAGAGATGTGTTGCGTAGGACATCCTCAGCTGAGGGGTAGGACATTTCAGTTCAATGGGTATTTTGCAGCCTACTTGTCTGTGATAACGTGTGCTCTTAAAAAGGAAGCAGACACCAAAATTGCACTTCTGTCTAATTAGTTTTACCACAATTGTTGGATGTAACATGCATGATTGCCATCACAGAAAGAGTTTAAAGTTACATCTCTTTACTTGGATGAAATGATTTACGTTGTACATTTCCCATACAGTCAGGGTCACTGCCTCCTGTTGTAGCAGATGACTTTGTTTCCCTTATTTTCTACCTGGGAGTCCCACAAGAAAGAACGAAACATTCGTAAGTTGGGAAAAATGCGAAGGGAGAAACCCAAAATCAAATCCACTGGGGCAGCGGCACCCCCAGAGCTGTGTGGGTGCACCTTTCAGTGCAGGACGCGTCCTTTGCAGGGGTCGGGCTCATCTGGTGCTCTCGGCTCCTGCCTGTCGGGAGGCTGCTCTCACCAGCTTCGGTGCGCCCTGGTTAGGGGAGTCACTGTCTCTGTTTTGGCAGGCTTTTGCAGGTGAAGACCATGTGCCTGAACACTGGCAAGTTTAATGCCAGAGAAGACCTTAGCTGGTGAACGGAGAGCAGAGAGGGGCAGTGTCCAGCCACGTTCCTGCCTGCTGTGGGGTCAGCGAGCCATTTGCACAAAGGTAGACTGCTTCATGCATTAGGAGTCCTTCCTACGTCTAAAATACCCCTTAGAAAGCAATACATAAAAGCAATAATGCAGGTTTTGTTTGCTAAAGCCACCTGCCTTACCAAACCTGATACAACCCTGTAAAACTTAAAGCACCCAGTCGTGTATCTCTTGGTGGCAGGTGGCTGTGCTCCCAGTGGAGGTAAAGAGGGCATCTCCCAGCAACTGGGCAAGCTCCTCTGCCTGGGGGGCCAGTGCCATACAAGCTGTGCTCTCGGCTGGCAAAAGCGCAGCCAGCACAGCGTTGGCCATGGTGCGTGGCCCACCAGCGAGAGGCAGCAGGTTTGGGCAGCAGCTGTGCCCAGCGGTGGGAGAGGGGCTGTGATGGCGGAGCTGCTGCAGCTAAACCCGTGGGATGCATGTAGTCTGCCTGCCATTTTCTCTAGTGACCCCTTTTTCCACCAGTTCTCCCTATGCACCACTGACACAAGATTTCTTATTAAAAAAAAATCCCATCAGCATGCTCTTTGAAGCAGGCTATACCGTTCTAGTATCTCTGCCCCCATACAACGATTTTTTCTGCATTCCAAAAAAGGGGCGCATTCACAGTGCAGGTGTGCGAGAGCGTGAGCAGGCTGGGGAGCAGCGCACAATGGCAAACAAGGCATGAAAAACTCCTACCATCAACCACGGGTTTGGGCTGCGAGCTCTTCAGCCTCAGCGAGGGCCTGAAGCGGGTTCGGTCATTGAAGCTCCAGCTCTTCTGCACTTTGGTTGGGCTGCCCTCGGTGGCAATGTCGGCACTTGGTGACCGGCGATCTCCAACTGAAGACTGCCTGTTCTTTATACTTTGACCTCGTGGGCTGGCCATCCGGACCCGCTCCTTAAAACTTAACTTTTGACTGTGAAGAAGAGAAATGTATTTTATTCCATGGTTCCTCCACTCCTTTTTTATTTTTTCTATCGTATGTTGTTAGGAAATAATTTCTAAAAATCCTCAATAGTATGAATCTGTTTCTTACACGCTTGTATTTTTCATTGAATATATTTCATTTGGGAATGAAAACTATTTGATGTAATTGTTTTTTGATAGAGGCATTATCAATGGCAGTCAATTTTACAGTACCGAATAACCTTGTAAAGCAAATTACAATTGACAAAGAGAAACAAATTTCACCTAATTATTACAGATTAATCTCTAAGATTTTTCTTTTATTCCTTGACTTTTAAATAGGTTTATTTTCATCTTAGTCAGCCCAGCTCAGTGCATTTCTGGCCATCTCTTCAGATAAACAAGAACAAAATGTATTCTATTATTACTGCATGCCATGTAGTATTGTGTTGTTTTGGTTTTTTTTTAAGCAGGCAACAATACTGTTAGTATATTCATGCTTTTTCAAAATGTGGCACTTCCAACATTTCATATGTGTTGTTAGTGATCACTCATATCCAGAACTCCTTGTTACAGCACTTGCTTGGACAAGACAAAACCAAATTTAAGAAAACATCCAAGAAACAGCATGATGACTGATTAATGGAAATGTAATGATACGCTGTGTGCTCACTAAAGTCATTGCTGGAGGTCAAGCTGGGAGCTGACTACCTGCAGGTGGTATTGGAGAGGTGCTTTAGGACAGATACTAGAGCCCAGCCAAGGCCATGACTGTGACTGCTGGATCAATGATGGCCCTGTGGTCTTACAGTTGGCCAATTGTAGGCTGATTTTTTTCTCTCCTGTCCTTCTAACCCTCTCCTCCAGTCAGCTAAATATGGGATATGTAGATTTTCTAGTTCCCAGTGCTTAAATTACCTTTGCTTATGTCCAAATATATCTGATGAACATCCTGTGGTCATCCTGACTTATCTGCCTATGCTTTTTCATTATTTAACATTTTTGCCTTTGTCTCTTCCTGTAGCAGAAGGCACAAAGGGGAAACAGAAAGGAAGTCTGATACCAAGGTTTGGAAACCTTGTTTTGTCTACAAGGTTAAGTTCAATCATCTGTACAAGGGAATGGTCATCTTGATCAGCGGTCCTGTTCTTGCAAGGGGAGAGATGATGGGAGCAATGCAGTAGCTACTCATGGTATGATGTTACGGGGTCTTGCAGTCTTACTGCCCTGGCATAAGCTTTGGGGGTGCTTTCAGAACACCTATAGCAAAGACTACCTGCAAATTATAACTGTACTTGAAGTTAAGAGAGTTTCTAGTACTCTCAAAGTCTTTGCATTTAACTTCAGCATGCCCATAAAATGTTTTCAACAGAAATGAATTCTGCAGCTAATTAACTAATGCTAACATGGACTATGTGGTTCTTAGATGTTTAACCTACTGCACTCTGAAAATACAGTGTTAATATGTAATTACATGAAATGCAATGTAGTTATAAACTTCTATGGCTGTGAAATGTTGAGATAATCAGATATCTTTGTCCATGCATAGCATAGCATAACATAGCATTTCATTCTGAATACAAACATCACTGAGAGCAGAATGGATGCAGCTTGTAGCAGGCAAAGCACATGCTGGGAAGCTTATAATGAGATAATTTTCAAGAATGCTAAAAACTGAGCACATCAATAGAAAGATTATGAGATAAATGTATTTCTATATGGCATGTTGAATCACTTGAAAGAATACCTTTACTGTAATTTCTGAATGCAATCCCCTTCTTCCCTTGCCCAAAGTAAGCAATTATTGAAATAAACACATGATGGTGCTGGAAGTGTTATCTATTTCCATTGCAAATTGTTACCCACACCTGCAATACTGTGTGCTGTTGCATATGCAATACAAAAGACCCACAGAACCTACTATTTGAAAGAAGAGTGAGTTTTAAAATTTAATTTTCAATAAAAATTACATTTCAAGACTGAATTACATTTCAGCTTATGAATCTTTTGCATTGTACAACTTAATGAAAATATAAGCTGTAAAATATTTGTTAACCACATTATTGCATTGTCATACTATGCAGCATGAGCAACAGAACCAAAACAGACTTCTTATTATAGATAATATTCCTAGGCGTGTGTCCCCTGTGTTTTTTTTAACTCCTCTTTTGGCTCAAATTGTATTTGCTATTGAAGCATGAAATCAAATTATATTTTTGTTGACAAATCTTAGAATAAAAAAGTTTTTGGACAGCTCTCTTCCTGTTGCACTAATTAAAATGAAAGGAAAATTGATAAAATAGCCATAAAAACGATCAGTATGAACCATATTTTTTATAATCCTGTTAACTCCAGAACAAAAATTAAAATAAAAAAATGAAAAAAGCACATGTGTTGTTCTGTCAATTAGTTTGTACTAATGAAAGCAATGGCTGCCTTTAAATGATTTGTACACATATTTATTTCATTTATAAAAGCTGAATGGTACACAATGGCTACTTAACCTGAATATCTTTAGTTCTCCAAATCAAAGCAATGAGGCAATGGTGAAAGGAACAGTAGACACTTCATCTGTACTAGAGACATTTTTCAAAAGTGCAACACTGAGAATGAAAATATTAATTTAAGATGCAGACCTCATACTTAAAAAAAAAAAAAAAATCTGCTTTCTAGTAATGACGATGTAACGGCATGCCAAGGATCCATGCAGAGGATGCTGCATCGTGAAGAGAAATGCAGCCCCTGAAGGAAGCGTGGTTTGGAAACTCTGTTTTGCATCTTGAGAGTTTCTCCAAAGACACTGGTTACAGCAGTTCTTTTCTTCTTGGATCCCTGTTCCTATTTTGAGACTGGTGGGAAATGTTACTGAAGTCACTGGGTCATACTCAGCATAGGCATAAATCATATGACTTGCAGCAGTGGAGAATTCATGCTTGGGAGAAGAAAGCTGCTGTCCTTGGGAGCACTCTGCCATGGGGCTCTTCTAGATAAGGTAACAGATCATGAAGGAAGAACTGAATCAGAACATTTTGGAGGCATCCTGACTAGGCTTTTCCCACAGTGAAAGTCCCTTTCCTTATAGGTTGTATAGTTCCTGGCTCTTGATTCTCTGTTGCAATAGTGGCGGGCAAAGTATTAGAGATACAGAATGGAGATAATCTTATGCCCTTTCAAGCAACCTTGGTCATTCTGCACTTGAATCAGTGGCCACTGAAGCCTTTAGGGCCCTTTACTCTGATTTAATGATGGTTGGATTAGCACTCTCCAGTGCCATGCTAAAAATCCTTCACTGCTTGCAGGACCTAGCCTATTATATTTTTCTCTCTCCCCCTTTCTCCTCTGTTTTTACAAGATATCCAAAGCAAATCCCTTGAATTAATGCAAACCTGTTAATGGCCATTAGAAATTCACATATCCCTATAAGTACTCCCAAAATTTAAGTTGAATGTTGGTCCAAAAGGCAAAAGCCATGAGAAAGAATCAGGAAAATGAAATTTCACAAGTTCCTTAATCAGACATAAATGACAAGGATCTGAGAGAACCACAGCTGTCTTCAGTCATGTCTGCATTCCTTTGGATGTGTGTCTTCCATAATTTCTTGTACCTTATGTGATTGATAGTTTATCCCAGTTGGTTTATATACATATTTGCTTCCTATTACAATCTTCCCTGGCAATGGTAATCTCTTTGGACCTATCCTTGCAGGTTTCAAGTTGTGGAACATATTTATATCGATAACATTGAAACTTTGAAGCATCTTTTAGTGGAGATCAATTACAATTGGCACCTGGGGAAAAAAGCAAGTGACTTTCCTCTATTTGTTTGCCTTCTGGAAGGTCAGTTGTAGGATCTTACTGCTTATTCTTCCTGGCACTACATGCATGAGCCTTTCACTTCCCTAGGATAGCAAAGGACTTTATAGTTCTTATTTCTTCCTTTTAAAATTCTGTCTTTTCCACCTTGGATTTATGAAGGAATAGGTGTTTAGAGACACTAGAGGTCACTGTAGCTTCACTGCAGGGGGAATGAACACCTCTGCTGGACCAAATGACTAGGCTTGAAAAGATTTTATTGTAACTGATAAGTACCTACAAACCTTTCCTTTTCTGTCCCGTACTCACAGCTCTGTCTGTCTCCCATGGACCATCTCACTATACTTTTTGGTTAACTGAGCATCTCTGCATCCCAGTCCTGCTCCCCTATTTCTCTGCCTACCTTCCTGCATTTCTGGTCAAGTTTATCTTCTGCCCTGCTTCAGTCTCACACCTGCAGCACTACTGCTTGCTACTAGTCACAATTTAAAATTTGGTTTTGAGCTTGTCATACTGAGACGGCTGGTGGAAGCTGGAATAGGAAGAAATTGAAATGAATCAGAAGTAACTGGAGGGCCTGAGGGTGAGGGAGAATGCTTTGGATGTCCAGCCGAGACAGAAGCTAAAACTGACAAAAATTATCACCCATGAAAAACAACAGCAAGCAAACGTACATGCCAATTTTCAGCAGTTAACTTCAAATAAATACAGATGTTGATTCTTACAAAGCCTACAGATGACTTTACTGAAATTAAGCTAAGTTGAACAAATGCAAATGCAATGGTACAGAAAGGCCTGCAGTTCAAATGTTCAAGACTTCTCCACCAGTCTCATGCTAGGAGCATGAACCCAAGAAATGTAGTGTTATATCTCATACCTTCAATGAGTAATAGCAAGAATTTCAGGGACGTAATGTCTTAAAGTTCAATTGTTAAACAAGAAAAAAATAAATTCAGTGCAGGGGCTTTGTGTATTTTTTTCTTTTTTCAAAACAGTTTCCAGATGAACTTTTTAAATCTCCATTTTCTATCATCAGTTTGTACTTCTATTGTCTTTTTAAATTCTTTTTAAAAAGTAAGAACAAAAATGTAATAAGCTTTAGTTATAAATCGAGGGTTTCCTCCTGTAAGATCCATCCATCTAGGAATTACCATTTTTGGTAAGAGACACAATTTCCACAGAATTCAGCTGAAGCAGATGGTTGATTTCACATGCATTCCTCTACCTTCCAGTACAGGGTGCAGGCACAGCTTCCACAGGCTGTGTCCAAGGGGATTCTTCTCAACAACAATTGCACATTTTGACTGTTGGTGTTGCCTAGCGTGTTATAGCTTAATATTCCCCACTAATTATTAGATGGAGAACTCAACTGCTGTAGTTATAAAAATCCTCTTGGACTTGGGGAAATGTCTTTATCCAAATAGTCAACCCCAGTTTTAGATCTCTGCAGGGCAATGCATTCCAAAAGTTCAAGTCTCAGGCAGAGAAGGGGAACCGGGCTTCGGCAAACTGCGGCGTGCTGCACACTGCAATTGTCAGACCAGATGAGATTCAAAGAACTGGTATTATTGCCATTGTCTTAAAGTCATTGCAGGCAACAAGCAACGAGGGGAATCACAAGCACTTAAAAAAAATCAAGAAACCTCCTTTGGAGAAGTAAGGAACTTTAAAGCACTAAGGAGGGGAAGTAAATGAATCATGCACCTGATGTTAGTTGGCATTCTCAAACATCATGTGAATAGGCAGGATGCTGAATACCTATGTTTCCGAGGGGTGTACATCCTGAAGAGCTTCTGTTTATTACTACAAAGCTTACTAGGAGTGAGGGGAGATAGAGGACCGTGTTACTAAGCATTCCACTGCTAGGTAAGGGGTTAGGCTTTCCACCTCAAGTTAGATTCTGCATCACTGGCAATTTCTTTTTCATATGCTGCATGCAGAGAGTTTACAATAAATCTATTTTTAGAAACAGATATGATATAGGAGGTGGAGAGAATTCCAGAGTACAATTTACTTCTTTCCCTTAGAACAGGGATGAGTTTTTCCCCCAGGCTCCTATACTGGTAAAACTTATTGCACCAGAGAGACTTGTCTGAATAGGGAATTTGTATTCAGGCTGACTAGTTGCAACACTAGATGGGTGACATTCATTCTTTTCAGACACCCAGTGCATGTCCTACACACAGCTGAAAACTGCTTATACTCCCACGATGTTGTAAGATTCATCAGTCTTGATCTAGTTTCCTGCACAGGAAGAATTTCAGCCACATTGTATAACTGCACAGAAATAAATATTATTTGCATTCACTGTGTGCATTTGTAGATATGGAGAATTTAACATATAGGCTTTTTAAATGACTTGCAGAACTCTAGAACTGATTTATGGAAATATCTCATTTACAGCGTGGATACACCAGAGAGGTTGTCTGCCATTACTTTTGATAAATGATTTATTAGAATATTTGTGTATAATACTTTGAGAAATACAACATACATATTTTTCTGAAAATCAGTATGAAGCTACAGCCTCATAAGCACAGCTCTCTCAACTCAAATGCACAGCAACATTTAGTTACCTAATGAAAGACTGTAGGTCTATACATGACAAAACACAAGAATTCATTTCTGTAATATAAAAGTTATTTTGGTAGGAAAGAAAATAATTAACTTTTACCTAAATTAATAAAAGTTTTTCTCCACTGTTATTAGAATGGAGTACAGAGCAAAGAGCATATTCAGAAAGCAATCCAATGCACTACTTGTGCAAACACATCTTCATTTAAAGAGTGAAACAAGAAGCAGCTTACTTAGTTCACATAGCATCCCATGCAAGTCACTCAGCATTGCAGTAAGAAAGAAGTTAAATAGTCGAGGACAGTTATCTCGAAGTACGTTGCAGCAGTTTGCATTTACATTTTTACCACAAAAGACCACACACACCACATGTATTTTAAGTGATACAAACATACAGCAATGTATCGGCATAAGAATGATAAACAGCCACTGACAAAACACACCTTTCTAAAAAGGCACTGAGTGGTCTGTAGGGTTTTTACTGTAGACCAGGATCCCAGGAGTTGTCTAGTTCATTTTTATACCTACACTAATTGGCAGCAGTGCACATATTAGTTAAGAGTTTCAGAAGGGACAAACATCTTCCATTCAGTGAAAATAAAGTGAAAAAATCTGGCCAAATCATTGTCTACTTTTAAAGGCATAACAGTTATCGCTAACATGGAGCATGTAATGTAATTTTGAGAGGTGGGGGTTTTTTTGCATCCAGCTTCTACTTATTGTAAGTAAATTCGTCTCTTTAAGTGCTCACAGGTACAACTGGGAATAATGTCTCCCTTCTGCACAAATCACTGTTTTGGAGGCACGTGCTCATTTACTACCAACTTCAGTCTCATCTTTAAAAAAGGTGAAGTCAATTTTAAATGTTGCTGTTGAAGGAGTAGGAAATATGGCTCGTGAGTGCAAAAAAGTTTTGATCACGCTGTAACAATTTAATGAGATCAATACGTTGCTAGCAAGCCTATGAAGGTAATGTATATGAAAAGTCACAGAACTGACAGAGCAGCTGAAGGGCTCAAGGGACTTCTCAGAGCAAATCCAGTCCCCCTGAGTTACTGTGACACTAACAGCAGTTGCGTGAGCATCGGGGAAAAGGATGGAGTCAGGCGCCAGGGGAGCAACCTGGAAAGTGGAAGAGGACATGGGTAATTGATATGAAGACTTTCCACCCCTGACGGAATAACCCAGAAGAGTTTGTGAACCACAGTACAACTTGGGGGAGGATGTACTTCAGGGACTGATGTGTCTCTGACACTTTTTTCTTGGTTTTTCATTGTTTTCTGCTCGGAGGTAAACTCCACTATTCTCTGATTGTGCTGATACTGCTGTGCTGGCTGCTGAATGCATGCTGACTCCTATCCCTAATGAGTTTCGGAGGTAATTTCTCTTGTAGCCACTGAGTCCTTTCCTATCCCTAAGGATTCGAGGTATAAGTATGGCAAAGAGCAGCATATCCACTTACTGCCTTGGGACTGTGCATCTCCAGGGCTTTATTTACCCCGGGAGGATAGCCCTGCCAAGGCCTGCCTCTGCGTGCTGGAGGCCGCCGGTCCTCAGCCAGCATCCCGGCTGGGTGGAAACCCCACCTGCCCTCCTGGCTGACAGCGGTGGGGCTTATTTAGGGAGAGATGCCAGGCTGTCTCCTCCGCCTGAACAGGGCCATGCAGAAGTGCAAACCATGCAGCCAGGAGGAGGTGAGCCACTGCAGTGGTGCTTTCCCCCCGTGCCGTGTCTGAAAACATTCTTTAGGAAGGGGGTGGCAGGAAAAGGTTGGGAAAATGTGGAGACATGGCACTGATGAAGCCTTGAGGATGCTCCTGCAGGGCAGCACAGACCCTTGCCAAGGTGACAGCCAACCAGCACCATCGGGGCGGGGGGGGGTCCTCCCTCTGCGACAGAGGGCTGGTGGGCTGGTTCACAAGGCAAAATGCAGCTACGTGCCTGTAGCTTCCACTGCAATTCCTGGAAACCTTGAGCATCGATTTTATGGCAGAAGCTGGGGGCCGCATCCTTGCCCAGGAGATGGGTCTGGGGAGGCTTCTCCGCTCGTTCCTCTGCCACTGTTCAAACTGAGCTCCCCCTCAAAGTTAAAAAGTAAAAAATTGTCTAGTTTTTCCATACAAAAACTGGGACAAAGACGCAAATTTCAGCAGCATTAGTCTATCAATACGAGTTTAAAAAAATGCAATTTGTGATTATTATCAGTTAACAGTTACAGTTCATTGAACCTACTGTACAGAACCTGAAACATCTAAAAGCCATTAAGAAGCAGCGATTTCACAGATAAAAGAAATAAAAGAAACTACAAACCTGCTAGAAGCTTCCCCTTGTTCTTTTCTTCAGGTCAGGGAGTGGGAGGGAAAAACATACTTGTTATGCAGATAGTAATCACATTACTTAGTTACAGATGATGTTAGATATATGATAAACGTAAATGGATATGCTAATTAGTGTACAACATACACGTTACACTGCAACCACAAAAACATCCAAGCAAGGCTGGTAACTACAATGCTTCTGAAAAAGAAACTTTTCAGTTGTTTTAACACATGCATAACATGCTTAGTACATACCACTGCAGACTGAGTTGGCAAAGCACTTAGGCAAAATGCATTGCTGACACATATATAACAGAAAGCTGTAGGCTCTTATTAGATAAAGTTATCTCTGGTAAATAAAAAGGTTTAATTTTAGGATAGCACAGCAATATGCTTATTTAAAAAAACAAGTAGATGCACTTTTGAGGGACAGTCATATTTTAGAATATTTTAGGTGGGATACAGCTTCATTATTTATGTAATTTTATATCCATCCATTTATACCAATGTTGCCTTCAACCTGTTTGCATATATAAAAAATCAATATTCCATGCAACTTTTAATCTAAAAGCTCCTTTTAGTTTGGAGCATTTTGGAATTGCAGTTATAGTAATGGATTACTTATGGCTCTGTTCTTGTCAACTCTTTGAAATTCAAAGATCAGCTTTGGGTACCCAGCCAAACCTCTTTTTGGCTGAGCTTTTTGGCACATGATTACTTTTTTACTGTCATGTGGATGTTCATCACCCAGCTTTGAGAGAAACCACTAATTCTCTTGCACTGTCTGCAATAACAACAGTTAGGATGCTTATCAGAGCTTTCCCATAAGGCTGTTAGTGCTCTCCTTTTTGATCTTTATCGAGTATCTTTTACTTCCTGATTTGTGCCCCATATTGAATCAGTCAACTTACTACCTCCAGGTAAATATTCTACTGAATTATTGAAGAGTCTTGGGCTGCCAGTGCTCTGTGAATTCTCACCCAAACTAGGACATCAGATATTTCCTGTCTGCCAAACAGTGACATCAGGTCTTTTTAGTCATCTTCCACAGACTATGTGTATAACTGAGGATATAATTTGCCCATAGGAAATGCTGAATATACCAGAAGTTATGATGAAAAGTAGCAAATTCCCCAGTGCATTCACCTGCAGAGTACCACAAGGCTCTCTTCCCTCACAAAGGTAGATCTGTAGCTATAGCCTTATACAGACGCACAGGCATAAAAATACTATTAAATCAAGGAACAAGCTCTGCATTGAACTTAATATTTTCCTCCTTAGAGATAATTTGGAACTGGGTGAAATTGATATGTGAGTGGGGTTTTAGGTTTCTAACACCTGTGCTCAGATAAATGGCAATGATTTGTATTTGTCCCACTGTCCTAGGCTCCTAGATAATATTGATATGATTTGTTAGTTGAAATTTTTAATGAGAGGACTTAAGAAGACAAAACAAGACGAAACAGACAAATAGTAATTCTCTATAAGCTTGAACAGACATCGAGAACAGCACCAGCTGCCATATTTGTACCTACTTTGTAGGGCTGCAGGTATGCAAGGCCTTCAAATGAGGCTTCCAGGTAGCAATGGAAACCGATTTCTCATCAGCCGCATAACTACGCCATACACACTACGTGCAGGATATATGGTAAAAAAGAAAAACAAGGCAAGAGGGAGCAGGGGATGAAACAAAAAATTGAAAAGCAGATTAGTAACCAATACAAGTCATGGCTTTCTTTTATCATTCATAGCACTGATACATGCCTGAGGGGAGGAAGAATACTTTCATAATATCGCCAGGTGGCTGTCAGGTTTGTTCGGCTGGCGTCGGTAGAATAAAACCGCCAAGAAGCCTGGTATGGGGAAACAATAGAAAAGCACAAAGGAACCAAGAACATGAAGTGACAATGCCACCGCACTGATTATGGAGAGAGGGGATTTTGCTCAGGTTGGGATGTGCTCTATTAGGTTGATTAAGGAAACACCAGTAAAAACCTACCAAAGCTTTTGTGAATCACAGTACACTTTACACGGCAAAGTAAGAGTTACTGGCTTCGTGGAAGCACCAGAAGATATTCAACACATAAAGGTGCTCAGAAAAGCATCACAGTGATTTATTTGTGACAAGTCCATACGGGACACCCACACAAACTTGCAGTCTGAGGTAAAGAAAGTGTCATAATACATTTTGTAAATGATAATGAAAACCAGACAAAAAGCATTTAGAAGAAAAGTGAAGCATTCTCTGTGGTTTGAAACACTGCTAAATGTTTAAGAACGTGAAATAAATAATTTCAAAGGTGAATGACCAAAGCATAGCATTGAAAATATATCCACCATTTAGATTTATAACTGCATGTAGATAGTAAGACAGATCCTCAGTTCTACAAACTGGAACAGCTTCTCTGATGTCAGCATAACTATATTAATTTGTACTAGCTGAGTATCTGTGCTTCCTGTACATTGTCAACCATTAAATGTCATCCAGGTATTCTTGTACGGAGTCTAATACCCTGTGTTTTCCTACTGCATATCTCCCAGAAATAGAATCATAGAATGCTTTGGGTTGGAAGGGACCTTTAGAGGTCATCGAGCCCCAACCCCCAAAATACATCTAGTCTTCGTCTACGGATGGAGAACCTGTCACTGACTTTGTAAATTATTCCACTGGTTGATCATTCTCATTGTCAAAAATCTCTGCATTATTTTTGATTTGAAACTCTTTGTTTTTGGCTTATAGCCAGAGATATTTATTATGTTTCCGTCTGCTACATTAAATAGTCCTGTAGGTTCCAGTACTTCCTCTCTGGACTTTTATGTTCAAATAATATTCACACTGAATATTTCATATAAGCTAAACATATTGAGAAAAGTATGTCCTTATGAAACATTCCAGTTTTCTGTAGTGATGCCTTAGCTCTCTCTAAGTTAGGTAAAGGCTCTAGCAGACAGTACATCTATGGCAACAGAGGGGTTAGCACAGACTAATTTTACAGAGTAACTGATTAGAAAATAGACACTATCCTGATAAACTAGAGCACACTGATTTCCATGGTAGTTCATTATCAATATCCACAACAGATGATTTAAAAAAGCCCAGGCACTGTTACAGTACACAATGATATGAAGTTCAGACACATCTTGCATTAATGAATATGAAGTTTTCTCCAGTCCTGGACTAATTTTTTTCCAATGTTTTCTTTGCTTTCTCCAATTTTCCAGTCTCATCTACAAACTGTAGATGCTGAGTTGATGAGTAGCATGTTAGTACCAGCATCACCATATACAGTGATAATATCAGCCTTCTCCTACTTGTGACCTTTCTGGTTCTGTACCTAAGGAATGTGATAAACCAGCTGGAGTAACATACTAGGAACTTATATGAAGCTCTTGGCCCTTCTTCCTCACTCTTTCTTCTCTGTGTTTCTAATCCTTGGTCAAATCCTTTCCAGAGTCACTAATATTAGGATAGAGTCCTCTTGTAGTAGTCTGAATTCATTGTTTCTAGATCAAATGTATTTGTATTTGGTATATTAAGCTGTTTGGATAAAGTCACCCAGATCATCCTCAGGTTCATCCCCACGTGCCTGCCCTCATCTTTACCATTCTGTCAGGCCTTCTATTGTTGACAAATATCTCCATCAGCAACTTTATATTAATTTCCAGATCACTGAAAATGCTGAACAGGAAAATGAACGTGTAAAAGCTGAATGACCTTCATCACTGGGATCCCAACACAAATGTCTTCCTTCCACAATGTTTTTGCCCACTGAGAGTCACTTTCTGAAATCAGTCAGCTAGCTACTCTTAATCTATTTAGCATGCTGTCTTACTAATATTTTGGTTGGACTGTCATACAGTAATAAGAGCTACATCCAAAATCTAAATCTATTGCGTGTTTCCTCTGGCAACCAAACTTGGAAGAAGTAGGTTAGAATATATGTGTTAGAAAATATCCCAGACCCTCCTTCTACAGTACAATAGATAAAAACAGCATGGATTTGTATTTATTAATTATTCTAATAATTATTGAATCTCAAATATTTAGTATTTAATAATCATGGAACAGTAATAATGGAAAATATTTATTAACTTTAAGAAAGCTGCAAAGACAGCCTGTCATCTATCCTGAACTTATCATGGAACTCTAGTATATCCATGCTCAGCTTATTTATATGGATTTATTATTTCAGAATTAAAAAACCAGCATAAGTGGCACACATAAAACACTTGGGATCCCAAGAAAATAAACTAGGACACTTTTTTCTTTTCCAGTGCATCAAGTAGAGTAAAGCTTGGTGCAAAATCATTCTTTAGAGGATTTTCTCATTTTTAACTAGGACTGTAAGTTAAGGAAAAAACCCATGCAAAATAGCTGTTTAACAAATATAATGCCACTTTTGCTTAAAAAAAATCTTTCTAAATTGTTGATCTGCACCATCATGTCAATATTGGAGCTGAAACCTCTTCAGACAATTTCAGACATTTTGGAATTGCTAGTGCCTACATTTCAAGCTTTTGAATTGACTAATAGTGAAAGCAGTTCTCTGGGCAGGACACTTTTCATTTTCACAAAGTATATCACTCATTGGAACACTATAAACCCTGTAGTAGATGAAGAGTAGCTTAATGTAGGCAAGAGTGCAGTGCTGTCGCTTGGGTTGCCTAGGGATCAATTCTATTATTCCAAGTAATTTGCTAACTGCAGGCATGCAGTTGACATCCTTGACTGGGTTTCTTCAGCATGGATAGAAGAACTCAAAAACTGTGCATAGAAATGCTATATACGCAATTATGGCAACACATGGCAATCACTGAGCAAACTTATTTAATGAAACTAACCAATCTGCTAACTGTTATTTCCACAAAACTTTCCAAACTGAAATAATAAAACTTGCTCAAATATATTTTTTAAATCACCTACTGTTATCTTTTCACTGATTTCATATTTACCTGAATTAGACTGGCAGCTGGATTCCTTCTTTTCTCAAAGTGTTTCTGACGATGCTGTTCCTGCACTTTTAACGCAAATCCTGAGCCAAGGATGCCCTGCAATACAATATACCATTTATCATTATGTAGGTAGTTTTTTCAACAAATATACACAACCAGCTACAAAGGTTTTGTGAAGATGTTATGCCATATGATTGCTTCAGATAGCACATTTATGACAGTATATGACAGTATAAGGCTTAACAACAGTGCCCGTCTGTGGTGAGGCAGGAGACTCCTTACTTAAGAGATAACATCTATGGTGCTACTAATGACCACTCATCCCAACCGTTGCTTGGGTTTGTGCTACACTATGTTCCTGCAACTCTAAGGGCCACGCATATATATCTATATATAAAACATCAGACAGGAACATTCAGAGGAATTTAAGCCAGGAATGATGAAATGACCAGCTGCCAGATATATATGGACTTTGAAGTCCATATCTACAGTGCTTATCATAACTTTTGATTTTGGAAAAGTTAGAAAATGCCTTGCTTAACAGATTATGACCATTTCTT